TCCCAAATAAAAAATAAAAATAAAAAAATAAAAAACTGACTCATGCCATGGAGCAAAGAAACACATAAGAAAGAAAGAAAATAAAAGAAGAGGTCAATGAGTGGTGGTAAAACAAGTTTCTCTGATGGGGGAGAGCGAGCACATTCAACAAGCAAATCTAGAGCTGGCATACAATTACTTTATCTGTCAACATTAGTCAACTTTTTGCTAAATTTTATTGTAACAAACAACCCTGAATCTCAGTGGGTTACAATAAATAGCAAAGGCTTATTTCTTCATCACGTTACATTTTGGTTCCTGGATAAGTGAAGTTACGGTTCATGGTGATTATGTCCCATGTGGCTTATTCATTCTGAGATCCAGGCTGAAGGAGACGCCCCAGTCAGGGATGAATTGGTCTCGTGGCCAAAGGTATGGACCATGTGATGTCTCTCGGTTAAGTTTCATGTCTCTCCCATTCAAGATTAATTTGCCACAGCGATTCATGTGGCTGAGCCTGCAGTTAATAGGGTGAAGAAATGTATGTGCTGCTTCCACAGGGAGGCATTACAAGTTACATGGGAGGGAGGTGTGAGTAACTGGGAACAAAAATACATTTTCTCTCATGATCCTAAAGAGAAAACTGCCACATTGGAAAAAAAGTTGTATATGCATGAAGATATGAGTGCAGAATTATTAATAATGATAAAAATTATAAATAGTAATAAGGAACTTTGTGGTATATTCAGTGTTTTGCAGTTATTGAAATGACCATTATAATATCTAGCAACACAGGAAAAGCATTGAACATGATGTTTAGTGAAAGAGCAATTTACAATTATATATACCCTGTGAGTATAGCTACATACACACAATCATACATTTTTTTAAAAAAATTGAAGATATGACCCTTGCCAGTTTGGCTCAGTGGATAGAGCGTCGGCCTGCGGACTGAAGGGTCCTAGGTTCGATTCCGGTCAAGGGCACATGCCTGGGTTGTGAGCTTGACTCCTGGTAGGGGGCATGCAGAAGGCAACTGATCAGTGATTCTCACTCATCCTTGATGTTTCTATCTCTCTCTCCCTCTCCCTTCCTCTCTGAAATCAATAAAAAAATATTTTTAAAAAATTGAAGATACGAAAATAAGTTATCTTAGGATGATGGACTTTTGAGTGATTTTTATTTTTTAGACAAAACTTTTTATAGCCATAATCTGTTTGGCTCAGTGGATAGAGCGTCGGCCTGCGGACTGAAGGGTCCTAGGTGTTCGATTCCAGTCAAGGGCATGTACCTTGGTTGCGGGTACATACCCACTAGGGCAGCTGTGGGCAAACTAC